ACCAGTCAGTCTTCACAACTAGGTAGGCAAGCATCTATTTATGTATCAGCCACCTTATTCTGGGGTTCGTGTACGGCATCCGATAGGCAGTGTTGAATTTCTAAAATGTTTGTTTTCACAGTCCTTTGGGTAATGAACCACATGGACAAAGTCATTACCGTATCTTAGTTGTGCAGTAGACATTTTTTAGTCTACTCTCCAGGTGGATCAGGTTTAAATTTAGACAGGAAAGTGTATTGTAAACAAGATCCCCCAAAGGAATACCACTGCTTAGGGCCACCTCTCGTGGTCGATAGATTTCATTGTGGAATGTGAACTGCACGGTGTAAGTGAAAAAAGAATAGAAATTGTCGAGGCCATTCAGTGATAGGCCTATGTGGATCGCATCGCTTTCGATGTAACGGAAAACATTACTGATAGTCCAATCAGGCTTAAAATTCGTGGCAATCTTTGATGGTTAAGCAATATCCAGCATCCATGAGAACCAAGGCATTCTCATCTGTGAGCTCTTCACACCAAAACACTTACCACTAGAACTTAATGTGGTAGGGAGAATGACAACTAACCAGGATCGATCCGATGGGAACTGCACCATTTTGGACTCGCAAACCGATATTCACCAAAATGTCACATGAGAGCTACAACAACCATCAAACAGAGGAATCATCTTCCCTCACGTCACCAAGTCCAAACCAGTGGAGCTGACACTCTTAGTTTATTAAACAGACCCCACTTTTGTTTAACTGAAAATAGCAGTAAAGATCGAATAAAGTTTCAACAGGTTTCCAGATGTCACGCTTGTGTGTGTGTGTACCAAATCGATTGTTGACACACTTCGACTAAATTTTATGACCCGGTCACATTCCTGAAAACTGGTTGTGCATTACTTGTGGTATCTGGATGATACCCTCCACATGTTTTCGCCCACAAATCTATCCGTAGTCACTTCTCCCTCACGTATCATTGTCTTAACCCGTGCGTATTATCGATCATCATCAGACGTGCACTTTTCGTTGGTTCCATTTCTTCGCTCGCCCACCAAACTCGCTTAACCCCCTTACACTACTTGTGACCGTTGACCTTGACGCTGATATGGTCTGACTCACCCTACCCTATTACTATCCTATGAAGTTGCTTAATCTTATTCGGACGGAGCCTCTGTATCACCCATGCGTCGCACTGTTCCATGTGCACAAGTGCGCTCTGACGTTATTTCACTTATCGCTTGTTTGTTTGACGGAATAGTGAACTCCCTCGTTTGCATCTTGGTTCTCGATTGGCATTGCTTATTTCGTCGGTTCAGGCATTCACCCTGGAAACGCCACGATCTGAGGTGTGTTGTTTATGTAATTGTAACACTTAATATTTACAGTACCACCTAATTATTCGCTATTTTTGGAGCCGAATAAACCTATAGAACATTTGAACTTTGTTGCGCGTCGCTCAACATTGGCCTAACTAGTCATTTCGATTTAATATTACTATACTTAATAAGCGAAACAGAAAGTCAAAAGATTCTTTCATTATTTTTATTTCATTAGCACACTAATTAAAATGCAAAAATACAGGGTTGGTTGAAAGCTTTAGTGCTGCTATGCAGTTTGATAGAAAATTTGCGTCGGTGAAGAAGAAAAAAATAAAACAGTTTCATTTAACATAACTGACCTGATCTGGAATTTGACTCACTTTCTCAGTCACCTCGAGTTCACCCGCACTCGGCGAGAACACATAGACTTGGTTCACCATGGGTTTATCTGAATCGTTCATATTGTTTTTCTCCATTGCCGGGAACAACTCGTCGAGGAGCGGACGGTAATATCGTCTTTCCGTGTCCCACTGACGATCGCGCTCGAGGTTGAATTCCTGAATCGAGTAGACGGGTAGAAAAGCGGCCTTGTTGACGGTCGCTTTACCCGATAGAAGCATCAAGTAGCTTGGCAAGACTGCAGTCGTGTTCGGGTGCATTGTGTGTGTGCGTTTGTACGCGTGTGGCAAAACCAGATTTTGCATGTTGTGGGAGGAGCGAATACGTACGAGGACATCAGAAATTTGGTAACACACGGTGCACTGAATCGTTGACATTGTGAGACTCACAAAAATCATTTCACAACCCGCAAAGTCTAAAACTGTTCTCAATTAGGGAAATGCAAGATTATGGGACACAACATTTGAACGCCACTGGTACGCATATGTGTAAAATATTTCCAATAAAATATTGGCCGCGCTGTAAACCTAAATATGGAACAGAACAGTTCCGCAGTTCCTGCATTGCGTTTCGCATGTGCAGATGATATGTCGTAGTCACTCATTGGGCCATCTCTGATGATTTGAGTGGCTAACGTCAGCCTTCCGTCGCTAGCGCCACTCGCCCAATCCCGAATCCCATCATCGCTTCCAGCAAGCTAATAAAAGATGCTCGACGACCATTCAGAGAACCAAAGAACGCTTCGTTCGCTGTAAAACCGAAGACTTGGTTTCGTCCGCCACCGGTACCTGAACATTGTCCCTTGTCAGAGCAATTTCCCGTAATTTCTACCCTTCCAAATTCCACCTATCTGTAATTCCTCTGGTGATCTTGTGTGTGAAACACACGCACTTGCGCACCCTTCGATTGGCTGCGCTACACTCTCGTGCTTGTTCGTCACGTTGGAATTTATCGTTTAACTCATCCATACAACGGTGCTAATCATGACCAGGATCTACAAATATTCTCGTCAGGACATGCTACGACTAAAAATTGTTTATTCTGTGCTACCCACTGATTATTTGTTTGGTGAGAGTCATAAAAGCCCTTTGATAAAAAAAAAAACGCCGACGGGCCGGATGGCAGACTGCACTTATTCGC